TGACGTGATTTTGTTATACGATGTTTCTTGTTGATACTGTTCAATTACATGAGTTTGTGTATATCTTATACATACGTTTTGTTCTGCATATAGTTTGAAGATTACTAGTAGACATTAGTATTGCATGCTGTAAATCGGTGAAGGTGAGTTTACATGCCCGAGTTTACAAGCCTCACACTTTACCAACGATATGAAATTTGTATTGCATGATCGCATCGTAAAGAATTCAAAAATCTTCCTTTCTTATGTTAATCATGATTTTGTGTCAACAGGTTTTCTTGGGCACAAAAACGTCGGGATGCTGCTATCCTACCTGGTATCATACTTGACCAACTTTTCATCCTGGATTTACTGACAGCTCGAATGGTTTAGAAACATAACCGTTTCAATTTTTGATTGCAGGAAGCCAGATGATATTCTTCATCTTGAATGTGGTCGAGGCAATTGCAGTTCTGATGACATTTAAGCCGTTTCTCACTCTACGTGAATAGATCGAGATCAATGTAAACGGAAGTTCATGTCGATGTCTAAGGAAACTCCCTCAAGATAATTATGGGCAGATCATTGCATGCATTATAGTTGTCCACACTCTAGCAAGGATATAGCTTAGTAGGAATATTAGATATGATCCTCATTATTAACATAAGAAAGGACTTGGATAATAGGGTTGCGATCGAGCGATTTTGAGTGCAAAAGGCACTTGGATTAAAATCGTATGCAAATGGGACTTAGATTGCCACACAAGAAACAGTGCCTGCATATGTAACTTCACTGTCAAGCAACAAAAACGCCGTGTTTATAATCGGAAACATAAAACAATAAAGAAGACCCGAATCTACATGAGACTTCATGAAAAAAGTCCCCAACATTGTCACGATGGAGCTCTAAATACCATTATCGTAAACAGCTCAGCTAAATTGTTCCTAATATCTGTTTTCAAATGCTACTTCCAAAGTTTCTTTTCATTTGATTTTGGCACTGCACGACCACTAGGCTTAAGCTTGATAAGCTCGGAGGCTTGGAGCATCGCAGTAAGGTAATCTCCAACCAAGGGCTTGTTTTAGCCTTCTGGCCCTCTAAAATATTAATATTTTAATGAACCATCAATGGCCATATTTGCCTCCGTCTCCAACTGAGGGTCAAAGGGTCATAGAGCTCGTTTTAGCCCTGTCACAAAAAACCGTCTCCAACCGAGGGCCAAAAGGCCAAACATAATTTATTATTTAAATTCAAATCTAACAACTTAAATTTAAAAACTACAACTTATATTTAAAAACTACAACTTAAATTTAAAAACGACGAATTAAATTTAAAAACAATAAATTAAATTTAAAAACTACATTAACTTGAATTAAAAACTATAACAACTTAAACTTAATATCCATAATCAACATCATCTTCATCATCCGCCATTGTTGGAGTATAGTCAGAGGTAAACAACTGCCTCCGGGTCATAATTTCTTTTTTTTTTCTTCTATCAAAATAGGCCTTACTCATTGAAGTGTAATTCGAAGTGTTCATTTCCATATTCTTATCATCCATCTCTTCTTGTATTTATTTGGCCCATTCTTCATGCCTACTTTTCCTTTCTTCCGCCTCAAGGGCATTTTGCTCCGCCATTAATTGCAATGAGGCCGCCACTTCATGTTGAGCAGCGTAATCATCATTTGCCTTGCCCTTTTCCTTCAACCTTCGCGCCTTGTTTCGTCCCATAGCTCTAGGTATGGAACTTTCACTCCAAGACGGATTTTCTACCCTTGTTTGTTGAATGGTTGGAGATCCATTTTCATCCATATCTGCAGCTGACGATGCAATTTTGAACTCCGACGTAGGAGCTCTATGTGGTGGATCTTCAAATAACACCCACCCTTTACAAATTTCCCAACAACTGTGAAACTGAAAGGGTTTCGAGCTGCTCTCCATATACAATTCTTTCGCTTGGCGTACCTAGAAAAAAATTAAAAGAAATTAATTTATGAAATTAAATGTAATATAATTAAATATTTAAAATAAATTATGAAAACACTTACTTCGTCGTAGTAATTAACGCCGCTTTCATGTCTACTTGCGGCTACTAACCATACTTGATGCCATTTGTTCAAACTTGGCTGAAGATATTTCTTCCATCTTGAAGAACAACTCTCGTGGTTTCAACTATTCACTGGAGTGGTGCCTTCATAGAACTCTAAGTATTTTTTGGACACACGAGTCCAAACACCATCATTTGTTTGACAATTCCCTCTCACACTATCTTCCGACGCCCATCTATAAGCTTTGCGAAGAGCTTCATCTTCTTTTCGGGTCCAAGTCTTACCTTTCATTGCAGACGAGGTCATTTGAAAATTATTGAAAAAATTGAAGAACAGATTTTTGAAAGAGGAAAGAAAGTATAAGAATTGAAATGGTGTAGGAACGGTGAAAATTTTGTGACAAATGGTGAAAATTTTTGAAAGATGATTAATATTTTTTCTGGCCAGCCCGCAGCTAGCCCTCCAGCCCTTTGGCCCTTTTAGATTCCGTGGGACCCTCTCAGATTCCACTAGCCCTCTGGCCTAGCCCTCGGTTGGAGACGGTTTTTGAGTTATTTTCAACCCTCTGAACCCTTCGGTTGGAGATGGCCTAAGGTTCTTACTGTAATGGCCATAACATGGCTGATGAACCTGCATTTACGCTTTCAGTAAATCGTGCAGGAGTCTTATCACGTCGAGAGTGATTTGAAGTGGCTTTACCGCCTCTCAATATGCTTCTGCTTTTAAAGATTCATTGATTGCGGAGATGAAAAAGGATTTGGTTTCCATGTGGAGACACTTTTATACTTTGCTTTAAGGTTAGCACTGTCATTTGGTATCATACACTAGGGTAGGGGGTTGATGCTGCAATTAGATCTCACCTCTATATTAGAAATTTAGAAAGGCGCTACAAATATGATTTCACAGAATAACAATATTCCTAGCATTTTCCTCCAACGAATATAGTAAACTTTTCCGAAATTGGATGCCAATTTGTTGATGGGTAAAACTGGTCAGTCAACTAAAGATCATCTTTAAAAGAGATGTCAAAAAGTTCACATTAACAATAACAGTAAAAAAGACAACATTAGTTTTTCCTACCGAACCAATTCTTATGTGACATGACATGGATCAACAGCAAAGGTGGTTGCTGTAAAATTTGATAGCAACTTCAAATTCATTTTTAAATGATTAATAAATGTTTTTTTTTATCATATTATTATTGATTTTTGTTCTAAAAGTATTTGTTACAATTATGAAAAATTAAATTATTCTTTAATTTAGTGAAATTGCCTAAAACGACCCATTCTCTTAATCTTAGAATTGAAATAGGACAAACTGAATATACACATAGTATGCACATGCCATCCACATCAATAGGACAAAAATAGGATTTTTCTAAAACTTACAATTACCAAATTGCACTCTCATTTCTTAAACTTACAATTACTCAAAAATTCCGACCCTCATTTCTTATTTTGTAGAGAGAAATAGAGAGGAGAAAGAGAGAAAGATGAAGACAGATAGGGAGTTGCTGGACAGCTGAAGGCTTGTGGGAAGTGGTGATATAATTTTAATGGGTGGTACTAGGTTTGTGGGAAGTGGTGATATTCTGCTTGGAGTGGCTGGTGCTCATACTCGCCTTCTTCTTGAGTTACTATGCCTGGTGGTGGTGGTGCTGCTATGAGGAGCTCCAAGGTGCAACAAGCAGCTGACGAGGATTTGAAGGACCATCCATAGCCTTTCCAAGTCTAACATGGAACATCCAACATAGATCGATTCGATTCCTAGAACATCAAACATACCCCGCAGCCATGGCGTCCCTATTTGCTTCCACCACTAGAACAATTTCTCCCTCTCTCGATTCTGTTACTTTTCTTAGCGCATCCTATTGATGCAATGGGTCATTTTTTGAAATTCGAGTGTCGCGACAAAGATCAGAGCTTTTAAATTTTAATTTGAGATTTTTGTTTTTACTGTGAGAAATTAGGGTTCTTGATGCAATATTTAGAACGTGTATCAGTTTTGTTGTAGACATATATCGTGCAATAAACGGCATTGGGAGATATGTAGAGGCCTAGATTTTGGAAATCCGTAAAGATTTGTAATTTGTTGTTTACAAATCTTTGACCCGAACTTAGATTATGGAAATCCCATTAAAAATCATTTATTTCCAATGACATGCACACTACATGTACACGACATGCACACGATATGCACATGATATATGCTCACAAATCTAAGAACCTAGCGCTCACAATTCTTTCTTCAAAAAAAAAAAAATGACATCATCACTTGTGAAAGTGAAATTGTACATTTTTTTTAACAAATGATATTATCTACACTAAGTGAAGGGGGGTTAGGCTTAGCCTTTACATTTTATATGTGGGTATTTTCGTCATTTCGCTTTTGTACATGTTGTGTGCATGGCGTTTTGTCATATTTCAATCCTAAGATTCAGAAACTGAGTCATTCTTGGCAATTTCCCTTTAATTTAACATATCGGATGAATGATAAAACTTTAAAAGATTAAAGTGCTAGATAAGATTTTAAATTTAAATTTAAATTTTAAAATTTGACATCTCATTTGAAAATGCTATCAGAACATAATAAGTCAAATTCGAACATTTCATGTGAAACAAAATACATATTAGCCATAATATTGTATTAATTTGAATCTTAACAGCTTAAAATATTTTACCAAAAAAAAAAACAGCTTAAAATATTTCACCTCCAAACAGAACCAAAATACGGTTAAATTAGAGAGACTAAATTTAGAAACTAAATTTTGGAAACTACATATAAGTTGATAATTGGTTTATTATTAAATATTGATAGACAAACTCATCTCAGTTGGTAACATATAATTTAGTTTGCAATTTTAGTCTCTAATTTAGTGTCGCTAGCATTATTGTAACCTATTTTTTGTCACCTCTGCCGTCTTTCTTACTCTCACCATCCACCTTGAAATCATAAACACACACGACACGAGTCATGACAAACACACTCTCCCTCCGGGATCAGATCTGCCCACAGGCCCTCTCGCTCCCTCTCTTTCTGCAATGGAAATTAACTCATTACTTCCCCCAAATTGAAACCCTAATTCTCCATCCAAAACCCTAATATTCCAACCCCCAATCATCAATGGAGCAGCTCAAGACCATCGGCCGGGAGCTCGCTATGGGCTCCCAGGGCGGCTTCGGCCAATCCAAGGAGTTCCTCGACCTCGTCAAGTCCATCGGCGAAGCTCGATCCAAGGCGGAGGAGGAGCGCATCGTCCTCCTCGAGATCGAAACCCTTAAACGACGTCTCTCCGAGCCCGAAATCCCCAAGCGCAAGATGAAGGAGTACATCATCCGCCTCGTCTACGTCGAAATGCTCGGCCACGACGGCTCCTTCGCCTACATTCACGCCGTTAAGATGACTCACGACGATAACCTCCTCCTCAAGCGCACTGGTTACCTCGCTGTTTCTCTCTTCCTCAGTGACGATCACGATTTGATCATCTTGATCGTCAACACCATCCAGAAGGATCTCAGGTCTGACAATTACCTCGTCGTTTGCGCCGCCCTCAATGCCGTTTGCAAGCTCATCAACGACGAGACTGTGCCTGCCGTTTTGCCCCAGGTCGTCGACCTCCTCGCCCATCCCAAGGAGGCTGTCAGGAAGAAGGCCATTATGGCGCTTCACCGGTTTTATCAGAAATCGCCCTCCTCTGTTTCGCATCTAGTGTCGAATTTTCGGAAGCGCCTTTGCGATAACGATCCGGGCGTCATGGGTGCCACGCTCTGGCCGCTGTTTGATCTCATTACCATCGATGTGAATTCTTATAAGGATTTGGTGGTCAGCTTTGTCAGCATTCTCAAGCAGGTCGCCGAGCGCAGGTTGCCCAAGGCCTACGATTACCATCAGCTTCCGGCACCCTTTATTCAGGTTTTACTTACTATGATTGGAGCTGAGCTACTTTATGTGTGAATTTATCTTTTTTGGTATAACAAAGTAATTGAAATATAGCTCTCCTAAGTGTAAAGCGATGTAATTTAGTGATTGAATTTGACAATGCAGATTAGGTTGTTGAAGATTTTGGCATTGTTGGGGAGTGGTGATAAGCAATCAAGTGAGAGCATGTATATGGTAGTCAGCGATATATTTCGGAAGAGCGAATCCACAAGTAATATTGGAAATGCTGTTCTTTACGAGTGCATTTGTTGCGTTTCTTCCATATATCCTAATCCTAAGTTGTTAGAACAGGCTGCTCAAGTCATCTCAAGATTTTTGAAGGTTTGAACTTTTTGATCTTTTTTGTTTTTCAGTGTAATTTTGTGCAAATTATGGTCTACATCTAGACGTTTAAGAGGGTTAAACACCAATTCATGTTAGTTATTTTGTGGACAGAGTGACAGTCACAATTTGAAATATATGGGCATTGATGCCCTTGGTCGACTGATAAAGATTAGTCCAGAGATTGCCGAGCAACACCAACTAGCCGTCATTGATTGCTTAGAGGTATGAGATTCTCATTTAGTTTTAGGTATTCTGTTTTAGAGTTGTGCTTGTAACGTTTTAAGTTAAGTGAAGTTTGATGTGCATGATGCAGGACCCAGATGATACTCTGAAGCGAAAAACGTTTGAATTATTGTACAAGATGACCAAGTCCTCCAATGTGGAAGTAATTGTGGATCGTATGATTGATTACATGATTAGCATTAATGACAACCATTACAAAACATACATAGCTTCTAGATGTGTGGAGCTTGCAGAGAAATTTGCACCAAGTAATCAATGGTTTATCCAGGTAAGTGTAATACATGCTGTAATTAAATTCTAGTTCTGTTAGGGAGCAATTTTGTTAATGCTTATTGAACATCCAATGTCATTGTCTGATATGTTTTCACTGCAGACCATGAATAAAGTCTTCGAACATGCCGGGGATCTAGTGAATGTTAAGGTGGCACATAACTTGATGAAGTTGATTGCCGAGGGATTTGGAGAGGATGATGATACTGCAGATAGTCAGTTGAGATCATCTGCGGTATGTAACTTTGATTTTGCACTTAGGTTTATAACTGTTTCATTCAATATTAATGAAAATACACCCTCCTATAGTTTTATTTGATTTCAAAGGTTCCCATTAAACTCTAAAGGATAATTTGTCCCTTTAATTGTAGATTCCTCGAATAGTCCCATAAATACTCAGACCATCTACAATTGATGGGAAAGCATGGACACATCATTTTAGAAGGATGCGTTACTTCAAAAAATTTGATACATTAACCTACAAGGGCCATGTGTTCTAATTTGTATGAAATTATGTAACTTACCCTCAAGCTTCTGTCTCTTTTTACTCTCATTTCTCCATTATTTTTTAATCTTCATCTGTCTCCACCACACTACCACCACCTCCTTGTCTACCACTGAACTGATAAGGGGAAATAATGAGAAATTAGTGTATACCAACACCAAATTATGTATAGGGGCAATGTGGAACACAACCTGCAATTCAGGGGCATTAGCAAACTTTCTCGTATAATGTATATTGTAGCCAACAATAGGCAACCTGATTTTTGTTGCCAAAGAGTTTGTTCTTTGAACTATGTTGTAGTTATGATGTAGAGCGATGGTGGGTTGTTTTGCAAAACCACCACTGGACCTATGTATTTTTTATTCTGACCTTTTTCACCTGTCTAATGCATATCTCCTATTCTTTTGAGGCCACAGAGGTAGATATTTCTTTGTGATTTAGTTTACCTCATTGGGAAAGAAGCATTACTTGTTACTGCCTTGTTCATTGATTGGGATGAAAATTTTTGGGGTTGCTAAATCACTAAGTTTTCGTTTGTTTGCCATTAGTTCAACAATCCCCATTAAACTCAGCAGAGAAGATATTTTGCTGCAGTTACCTTTTTTCTTTACCTTATCTAGCTTTAAAAACATTGGAAAATTATATCAAAGTAGCCTGTTTACGATATTTATGCATTGCTTGCTTCTGCACTCTGTCATTCACCAGTTCCTTTATTTTTCACTTATTGTGTATGGTAAAGAAAAAAATTTCTTTGTGTGCAGGTGGAGTCATATTTACGCATAATTGGTGAGCCAAAGCTTCCATCTGTATTTCTTCAGGTACATTATCTCCTCTTTACTTTTTTTCTTCTTTTATGTTAATTTTTTAGAAAGAATTTTCCTGTCGATGTCTTAATTTTAGTTGATCTCAGGTTATTTGTTGGGTTTTGGGGGAATATGGAACTGCTGATGGAAAATATTCTGCTTCCTATATCACTGGGAAGTTATGTGATGTTGCAGAGGCATATTCAAATGATGAATCCGTCAAGGTATTCTTCGAAGTCAGATTTTCGTAACTAGAGTTTGCATTGTCTGAATTTGTATTTTAGTTTGAATGGAAGGGATTTCCATGCTTCTTAAATTTGGATATTAAGTCATGGTACCAAATATTTAAGATGCATATTAGACTATGACTTCCATTTCATTTCCTTTTCCAAAAAATATGTATTTTTAAATTGTTCAGAATAAGTTATACATGGCAGCAAGCTGTTAACATCTACGAAACTGAATGATTTCGTAATTCAATAACTATTCCCTTGTGAACATTAATTTGCTTTGAGTTTTAGTTAGTTTTCTATGATGAATCTGTGAGCCATCTTCTGCTTATGATTTTGAATTTTATTTTTCTGCTGCCTTTTGGTAATACGTTTCAATTCCTAATTGCTCAATGACTGCATATTTTGAGTTTTGGTTTCCATTTGGTAACCGGATGGTGATTCTATAGGTTTTCACTTGGCTGGGGAAGCAAAATGCTCAGTGAGATGAATTAGTTATTGATTTTAAACTTGGACATACTATTGGCGCTTTAAAGTGGCATATAGGATATGCTGGCTTCCTTTATAAAAAGCCATTGAACCTCAACTTTGTACAGTCTTTCATGTTAATTTTGTATGTTTAGCATGTGCATGAAGTACAAACATCTGCTTATGTTCTTGTGTCTTCCCTTAGTGGCTTAGGCATTTTGATTCTATGATTATAAATATCATACCAGAGCTCATCAGACAAGTATTAGATGCGGACTCTCAACGCGATTTTGTTTTCCTTGATTTCTCTCAAATTAAAATATTTATTTAAGAAAAAGCCATCAAAAGTACAATTGTGGACAAGAAATCCACTCTCAAATTACATCAGCTAGAATTGTAATCCTCTATTTAGATTTTCATGGGCTGAATGGTGTTTCTGTTTTTCTCTTATCCTTTTTTTGAAGTTATAACAAAAATTAAATGCAAAAATATTCTATCTTGTATGTTATCTGGTTGAACTTTAATTCTTTCAATTCATAGAAAATGCACCATCCTTGTTGTGTTTATTTTATATGTATGCTTATTTCTTATTTGTTGAAACTGAAGTGAGCATGTTCTTCTTTTACAGGCTTATGCTGTTACAGCAATCATGAAAATATATGCATTTGAAATATCCGCTCAGAGAAAAGTCGAGATCCTACCCTGAGGTGCATTTAATGAACTCTTTAATCCTAACTTCACTTTTACAACAATATCAATTTCCATGCTTATAGTGTCTGCTTAGATTTAAACATCTTCTCATAAGGATCTTCATTTGGTAGCATGCTGTAGAATTAAGGATGCATGTAGTCATACCTTTCCTAACCTTTTAACAATTGAATGCCTATCTGACAAGAAACTGAATCAGTGTTGGATTTTCTTTTCTAATCAATGTTTTTTTTTCTAAATTTATTTAAATTTTGTTGTTTAAGGATGGTGTACTCCTTCTGTTTTTAAGAAATTATAATTTGATGGCTGGACTTGGAAAAGTTCGAAGATAAATCTAGGAGAGATGTTTTAGAGTTGTACTGATATGAATAGTTGTACATTGAAATTCTATGGACAGAACTTATAAGATCACATTCATCTATCATTGGTTAGCTGTAGTGTTGTCATGTTCATTTTGTTTTGGCTCTTCATGGAGGTACTTTTCGATTGATAAAAATCTTTATTCCCTTGCAGTGTCAGTCTTTGGTGGAAGAATTATCAGCTTCTCACTCAACAGATCTACAACAGCGTGCATATGAATTGCAAGCTGTCATTAGCTTAGATGCTCCTGCTGTTGAGAGTATAATGCCGCTAGACGCAAGTTGTGAAGACATTGAGGTCATATTATCTACTTGTGCTATGCTTTTATGTCTTATCAAGTATTAAGAATTACAGCAGTCTTACATTAAGATTGTTGAGCCTTTTACTGTCTTATACAAATGATTTTTTCCATGTTTAGAGTCCAATTCTGATAGACATATTTTCTTTTATTTTGCAACGTCCATTAACATACCCTAAAAATAGGATTCCATTGATAGTGTCTAATAAGACAACTCAAAGACATTGTATAACTTTCATTATTTTCAGGTTTGTTGTACTAAATTATTTGTTTGGTAAGAATTTTTTGAGATCTAATAGATTTAACCCTTAATTATTGTAATGTTAGTATATGAAAAGTGAACTGATGTATTTGTCTCATAAAAATGTATTTCTCAAAGCTTATTGTAATGCGACATAATTCACTTTTCCAATTCAAATCTCTCATGTTTAAAAATCTTGATGAAACGTAGTTCAATTTTTCACATCGTGACGATGTATGTGGTAGTGTTTCATGGATGCATTCTCAAAAATCATGATGCAAAATTATTCATGTTAGACAAGAATATATAGATTCTGAAGAATGTAACGCACAATACAAAAACTAGGAAAAACGAACATGGATCCAAATGAGACTGCTTGCTTGCTTGCTTGCTATTCAAATATGCCCCATATGTCTTTTATACATCGAGCAATCAGCTCCCCCTCCTTTTCCATTTTCATTTTTGTATATTTTCAAGTATATGTATGGAATGGATCAATATAAAGACAGTCATCTTCAGGTACCAGTTGCGATGATCTCAATTAATATTATTAAACTGTACATTGGAAAACATTTTGGAAATCTTGGTGTAAATGAAGAAAACTTCACAATCGGTTTGTGATTAGAATTTCTTACCTTACCAACATGGGTGAAACTTGGTTGGTACTACCTGGATGCTGAGCAAGTGTTTCAACCAAGTGTTTCACAATCGGTCTGTCCTTCCTAGTCCTTGCATCTTATTTCTTCCCTTTAGTTGTGGGTGTTTTTTTAAAAGGTTTTGCATATTTCTCCGTTATTCTGGAAAACCTTTGATTTGGGATTCTGATCTGCATATACACCTTCTCCTGTAGAGGTTATTTATTTATCTAAAATAAAGATTACATATATAATTATATATGTACTAATATCTTACTAATATCTTCACCTTCTTTTGCAGATTGATAAAAACCTTTCATTCCTCAATGGCTATGTCCAAGAAGCACTAGAAAAAGGCGCTCAGCCCTATATTCCCGAGAATGAGCGCTCTGGAGTGTTAGATGTCAGCAACTTCGGAAACCAAGATCACCATGAAGCTTTAACCCATAGCCTTAAGTTTGAGGCGTATGATCTTCCAAAGCCAGTAGTGTCATCAAGAGTTCCCCCAGCTGCAGTTGCTTCCTCAACTGAGCTTGTTCCAGTGCCAGAACCATCTTATGCTAGGGAGATCCGCCAACCTGCATCATCGCCATCTGTCTCAGATGCAGGATCGTTGGAACTTAAGCTACGACTTGATGGTGTACAAAAAAAATGGGGCAGGCCAACATACTCCTCTTCTGCATCACCGAGCTCGAACTCTTCAAGTTCTACTTCCCACAACACAACGAATGGGGTCACACAAGTAGATAGCGTGGGCACTTCAAATTCAAAAGCACGTGACACTTATGATTCAAAGCGGCCACAGGTTGAGATTTCTCAAGAAAAGCAGAAGCTTGCCTCTTCTCTGTTTGGAGGCTCATCAAAAACTGAGAAGAGGCCATCTTCTACCAACCATAAGGCGTCTAAGGTGGGTAGCCATGCTTCAGAGAAGTCCCAGGCGCCAAAGGCTGCAGTTGTACACACTGAAGTTAATCATGAACCTGTTCCAGACTTGCTCGACTTGGTGACTCAACTAGTTCTGCTCTGTCTGTAGATCCTTTTAAGCAGTTAGAAGGGCTTCTTGATCAAACTGATGTTGCGTCAAATGTGAATCATGGTACAGCAAAGACACCTGATTTTATGGGACTATATGCAGATACATCTGTCAGTGGGCTCAGTAGCAGTGTTGGGGATCTTTTGCCGACCAACAGGGATGAGTTTAATCTTACATCTGAGTTATCAAGTGCTACAAGGACTGCTCAAGGTGGGGTAACACAGATTAATAAGGGTCCTAACCCTAAAGATGCCTTGGAAAAGGATTCACGTGTAAGGCAGATGGGCGTGACACCAACAAGGCCGAATCCCAACTTGTTTCGAGATCTACTTGGCTAAACTGTTCAAACAGCGGAACTTTGGTCATGATTGTTCGTGAATATTTTCTGTGGTCTTTTGGAGCGGCTGCCTGTATATGATAGGAAATGCTACTCATTCATGAGTTTCAAAGCCAGATGCAGAATTGTAGAGACACCCGTATGGAGTGAAAACCAAAAAAACCAGGTAGAGGCATCATGTATTTCCTTGGATATTGTTTTGAGCCAAATCAACATGGAGAGTTTTCTTTGCGGCAGCGTGGAGGGGTTGTGGCGGGTTTTTCAAGCACCCGTAGGAATCCAGTTGTGTCGTGCATGTGTATTAAGTGAGTTTTTGTTGCGAGTTTTACTTAAAGTTGTAGACTCTAGTAGTTGCCCTTTTGACATTATTGAGCCCCTTTGTATTTTTTGGCGGATGGAATTGAACATTCAAACACCTAAAAGCACCCGGTCAAATGCAATGACAGTGAGTAATAATGCTCCTTGGAGAATTCAGAAGCTATACATCCTCACTCCTTTTTACACCTCTTATCCAAACTCAATCGCATCTTAACTTTCCTACAGAATGGCGACTAATGTGCGTACGTAATACTTTTTTAGAGGAAATTTTTTTTGTTATGTTAATTGCTTAGGGCGTAAGGTCTAGTTCTCAAGGTCCTCGTAATGACATTCTAAAACTCTAAACTCAAAATTATCAGCCCCAAACATTAACGGATATTCAAATACCACAAACCCTCAGAGTCAACCCCGGGCTCTGAAGGGCCTTATAAAATCTTAAAAAGAAAACCCCGGGCTCTGAAGGGCCTTATAAAATCTTAAAAAGAAATAAGCTTGAGGACGAGATGGTAATTTCACACGTCTTCACAATACATTGGGAAGTATTTTTCCTAGAATATTTAGTTAGACATGGTATTTTTCTTTAAATATGATAATTTTCCTTAAAATATAGGCCCAACTTGATATTTAATATGAATTTACCTTTTAATAATCATATTGGTTTCACATCTTGTTTAATGGATGGATATACTTGTTTACCTTTTACTTCTTCGGTAATCATACTTTTTTTTAAGTACAACGATATATTTTACACTAAGAGGATGATGAAGTTCGGTTAAGCCACATAATAGGTAACTAATTTGATATCGAATTTGTCATTCACAAGATTCGAATATAAGACCTCTCACTTACACGTGAAGATGAATATTATCAGACCGTAGTATTGAATAGTCCTTCAGTAATCATACTTGTTTCCTTATCACCAATGATTTTATTAGGGCCAGACTTGAGATTTTTGGGGCCCTAAGCAAACCATTGTTACGAGGCCCTTCAATTCATTGATCTTTCAATGCATGCATAACAATCATATAATTTGTCTTTTTTTGATAATTAGTTCTTAAATATATTATCATATCATCATTTATGAATATCTATACTGAAACAAAAAAATAACACGCTAAACAATATATCTACAACAATATACTATAAATTCAAGTTTACCTAATTAAAAAGGATTAAAGTCATAGTTTCTATATGCTGACCTTGAATTGCAATCTTCTAAACCTAATTATATATTTTGATTCGCTTCTTCACTTGTATAGAGAGACTTAGAATTTGAAAAAAAAAAGAGATAGAGAGGAAGTGACACTACTACAAAATAGAGCTTTCATGACACTTATTAAAATTTTTAATGACATTTATTTATTAAAAATGTTATTAAAATAAATGGATGACGCAACTTAAAAAAAATCCACGGAAGCATTTAAAATTTCAGAAGAGAGCGAAGATCCCGCAACTCACAACTTCCTCACGACTCATTCACTCCACTACCCAACCCCCATTCAGCCAACTCCCAGAATGCAAGATCAAAGCTCTCATTCTCCTCTCTTTCTCTCTCGCTCCGCAGTTCCAACCCCGATTCCCTCCGCTCTTCCTCACCCTCCTCCCGTCGCGTCCTCCACTTCTGGTAATTTCTCTGCCCCGCTTTTGATTTCTCTGCTTCTCGCCTTTGTTTCTAGTGTGATTTCAGTTTTGTTCTGGTTTTTAATTTCAGTTTGGGAATGTAGGGTTTCTGGATTTTTCTAGAAGAACAACAGGGAATGTAGGGTTCTGTCTCACTCTCTCTGTCTCTCTAGGACGCCCACAGTTTTCATCAACCAGATTGATTGTTTTCCTCAAATTTCCCTCAAAAGCTAATTGTGTAAGGTAAGTTTGTTGGAATGGTTATGGGTTTTCTAGCAAATAATTTCTATATTAATCTGTTTTGTGAAGTTATATTGATTACTTTGAGCTATGTGGCTGGATAGATTTTAGTTTAGCCTTGTCATTTGCTAAAGTAGTTTCTGAACAAATTGATTACTCTGAGCTGTGTGCGCATGTGTGTGTATGTGTATGTGTGTGTAGAACGCTATTTATATAGAATAAAGAGACCCTAATTAATCCAGTTAAGCAATTGTAGTATATTGTGCATGCACATGCTATAATTAATCCACTTGAAAAATGGGGATCCGAGGGTTCGATAAAACTCCTCATAAGCTCTGCTTCTGTTTATAGCACACCACGTGTTTGATAAAACTCCTCATAAGCTCTGCTTCTGTTTTTTATCTTTAGCTTGCAATAGTTTATATATTGTGCAATCTCATTATATGTGTTATTCTAATATCAATCAATATAACTATTTTAGAATGGATAAATCTTGGATGTCTATGGATAGAAGGTCACAAATGTATTCTGAAGGGGTTGAAAACTTTTTGAATTATGCTATGCTTCACGCTACTGATATTAACTACATACGTTGTCCGTGCCTAAAATGTGGTAACATCAAATCAAGGACGGTTAAAGAGATAAGAGAGGATCTCTTTTTCAATGGTATAGATCAAAGTTATTGTACATGGTATTGGCATGGAGAAGCTGTTCCAGATAGTAAGAATGAGAAAATGAGTAATCGGGAAGAAATAGTTGAAGATAACATTATCGGGATGGTGGAAGCAGCTTATGATCATTTTGCTTCAAATCCTGAACAATTTGAGAAGTTGTTAGAGGATGCAGAGAAACCTATATACCCTGGTTCAAACTTCACAAAGTTATCAACCTTGGTCAGATTGTACAATATAAAAGCAAAGAATGGGTGTAGTGATAAACTATTTGCAGATTTACTAGAATTTTTAGGAGTATTGCTGCCACAGAAGAATGAAATACCCCCCTCTGTGTATGAAGCAAAAAAAACATTGTTTATTTATGCTATAATCCCGACAATAGTTGATTAATGAAATATATTTTTTTTAAGGTACAACAGTGCAAGCTTGCTATAGACACTGCTAAGAACATTGTTGCATATGGATCAGTCATCCCATTAGACGGGCCAATACATGGAATTCCACTTGGGCCTAAGAACCTACGTGTTTCTATTGATTTAGCAATTAAAGAAGATGCTCTTCTTCCAATACCTAGTTGTGAAGCTGTGAATATCAAACAAGCAATTGGGAGTCACGTAGCTTGGCCACGACATCTTGTCGTGATAAATGATGAGGTACTCCTATGTGATTTTCTTATGAATATGTGGAAAAATTAATTATAGTACTAATATGTCTCATTTCACTATATTTATCTATCTATGCAAAGTTGAGAACGAATCCACCCCTCAGGCAAAGATCCCAAAAACAACCTTTGGCTTTGCGTTCACTTATGCTCATAGCTCAAAACATGCATAAGGATGTTACTGTACCTATCATTATGGAATCTGACCTATTCGGAAATGAGCACACAACATTTATTGGTGGAGATGACATCATTCAATTTTGTTCCATGGCTGAAATATCGACTGTTTGCATTTCAATTTACATCAGGTTTGACATAATCTTAAATTTATATACAATACAGTCTATTGCATGCACCCACATTGGGTAATGATAAGATACTAATTGCCACATTTTTTGTAGGCAACTTTGGTCAACGTTGAAGAAGAACAATCTTGATGGAAAGTTTGGATTTGTAGATCCTGGCAGAATTTCTCAAAAGGCTGGCAAAAAGGAACAAAGATCAAATGCACTGGCTCTTAGATTACAGAACTGCAAAAAAGGACAATTAATTTTTGCTCCGTATAACAAAGGGTTATTAGTACTATGTGTTTTGAACTTTTGTTCCTAACAGATCAGTAGTTGACCATTGTGTGATAAATAATGCAATTATTTATGTTTTGTAGGTTTCATTGGTTGTTGGCTATTATTGACCCCTATGAGGAACTAGTGTATTATATGGACTCGCTTAATTGGATACAGATAGATCCTGTAATGAAGAACATTGTTGAACTGTAAGTATTTGGATATACGTTTGTCTTTATTTAATGCATTTCAAGATTTGTATATATTTCATGTGTTATTATCCTTTACGTGCAGAGCATTGAAGATGTTTAAAGCTCAAAAGGGAATAAAGGGTCGAAAAAATATTAATTGGAAAGTAGTACAGGTAAGGAATCTTTGTCTCACGGGATCAGCATGCCTGTAAGCTTCTCATTATTCTTGATAATATTTTGGTGGTGTTCTGGAATACTGAATGGTTTTTAAAGTTACGCCAAACGATATGTGGAAATGATTATTTGAATTGCTATGGTCATGATATGCAGTGCCCTTTGCAAGAAGGAACTGTAGAATGTGGATATTATGTGATGAAATACATGAAGGAAATCGTTGATGATCCGAACTGCTCAATTATTACCAAGGTTAGTACTACTGTTACAAAGAGCACTTAAGCGCGTGTATTCGCTTGACATTTTATTATCTCTATATCGAGTGAAAAAAAAAAAAAAAAGAACACATCAGTGAAAAATACGAGTACAGAGCCCTTGTTCTTTTTGGGCTAGTTGATGCTAATTGACCACTTCCTTATTAGTTAATGATTGAAATTAGTTTTTGTTGTAACATGTTCTCTTTGGTTGTGATTTGTTGCAGTTCAAAGAAAAAGCTACATACACTCAACAGGAAATTGATGCATTAAGAATAGAGTGGGCTGAGTATGTTGATGACTTCATCCCAATTGATGAAACACTAGATTAGCTAGTTTGGGAAATTTTAAATTAAGTGAACTTATAGTTTTATTTTAGTAGGAAACTCTACACATTATATTGTCTTTTGTAATACTTCGGTACTGGATGACGTTGGAGTGCTATAGTACATGACGCTATACAGATGTCATGTTTACTGTACCATGACACTTATTCCTCTGTTTATGACACGTATTTTGGTCTCCAATTGAAATAGATGACACACTTTTTTAATTCAATGATCCTTGTTAGGTGTCTCTAAATGCTATACATGACATTGTGCGTATGTCATGATTAGTATACCATGACGCTCATTCCTATGTTTATGACACTTATTCTGTGTCTTAAATGGTAATAGATGACACAAGTTCTTAATTTAATGACACTTATTGGGCATCCTTAAAAGTAATACATGACACTCTTTCAACGTCATAAAAAATATCTTTAATGACACCCACAAAGATGACGCTAAACCCTTGTGTCATTAAACTTTTAACATGACCCATAAAATGCGTCATGTATGTAAAAATTTGTAGTAGTGTGAGAGAGAGAGAGAGAGAGAGAGAGAGAGAGAGAGAATTGCAGAGGAATGATGGTGAATGCTAGGGTTCATACTTACTTTAGAGAAGAAGCCAAGCCAAAACAATTACATTTACAATTCGTTCCTTTGTGTTATTAGGGGTTGTTTTTGTCTGTCTTGATTAAGTAAATCAAGGCCTACAAAGCAAATTCCTAAATTGGCATGGCCCTCTTAAAGGTACATGGTATGGCATATTCCTAAATTGGTATGGACCCTCTTAAATGTACATGGTATGGACCCATTTTTTAACATAAAAAAATGTAGAAAGCGGGGTACGTACAGAGGGTTCAAACCATGAACCTTGAGGGAAGAAGCTTGCATATTTTCCACTACACTACTTGTTAGTTTGTAATATTCTTTCTACATTTACTAAGACGAAGGCGAAGAGTCAAGGGTTTCTGGACAACGGTCTGGGAGCCATATCTTCACTGTGGATTTTGATAGTCGTTGGCGATTTGGAGGAACTAACCTCGTTTCAGCTGTGAAGCTTCATAACGACAACCAAGAGGTTGTCTTGTTTCAGCTTTGGAGCTTCATAACTCCCAGAAACTGAGCTTCAAACTCCCTTAGAGCTTTAATCGAGATCGAGAGGTCTTGTTTCAGCTGTGGAGCTTCAAACGAAACTTCAGACCCAATTCTACCGATACACTCGAATCGTTACAGCCGTTCGATGTTGGTAGGCACAAGAGAAACGCTCGTTGTAACTCTACGTTGGCATTGTTTGGTGCCTATTGTGAAAAAACTGTAAAATGTCCATACACAGAAAGTCACTGAAAATGTGTTTTATCCAGACTTAAAAATTAGCTGCTGCGGGAAATTCCAATCCACTCCCTCCACAACATGCAGGCAGACTTTTGCTATGGAGTTCGATCGTTTGTAAGGGTGAGGTTTAATGATATCTTGTGGTAGTTATACAAATAGGTACAGTTATCACTTACAAATCAAAATCAAATGTATTTAGCACTTCTCTGTTTTATTTTGACTCATATGTATCCATGTTGTGCAATCAATTAGATTTACACACAAGTATATACCAAAAACGAAGAAATAACGCTTTTTTTTTTTAGCGATATTATTAGTGGGTTAAATTGTTACTTGTTAGGGGAGAGAGAGAGAGAGAGAGAGAAAAATTAGTTGGGATTGAACTTACGCCGAGAAAATAGGTATGAGTTATATTGGCATAAGTATGATTTTTTTTGGTGGTCAATGCGTTAAACTACCATGTGCACGAAGAAATACCATTGAGTGAACCCAACAAAATTATGTGACAATATCTAAAAACTTGTAAAATGTAAGAAAACTGAATTACGTTCCGAAAATTCCAGCAAAACACTGATTCCTAAAAAAGCGTGATTAATTTGAATATTCGAACTTGGAAAAAAATAAAAGTTATAATTTCAAATTCAACAAATTAATTACCTTTTATAATTACAACAAAAGTTATAATTCCCTTTTACATTTTCATTTTTATTTATTTGAAATACTCTGTTCTTACCGTCAGGTGGCTGTCAATTATTACTAGTTTCACAAGACCGTCAAAATAAAAAGATAAATAATTTACCAAAAAATAAAATAAAATGATAAATAGGAGAAGAAATTAGTAGCCCTAGCCAAAAAGAAGAAATTAGTTGCTTGATGCTCACGTCGTCTCTGTAGGTAGCTTCAATTCAAACCCTAGACGACCGTTAGAAGGCAGAATATCACCGACTACACGTCTTCAAAACCCTAAGCCACCCAACACACACGCACTCATACACTAGCTTGTTTGCGTTCACCACTGATTCTCCGCAACAAGTTCGAAATCATGAAAAGGAAGGCCGAAGAAGAAGAGCTGGGGAGGTTGTGGGGCGACGGCGAGGAGTGGGAGAGAGGAGATTTGCTCGGAGAAGGCTGTTTCGGGTCGGTTTTTCTTGCCTTTTCCAAGAAAAACAAACCCATTGTTAGTGCTCGTCCACCACTGCCTCCGGTCATGGCTGTCAAATCTGCTGAGCTTTCCCATTCCGAGTCGATTCAGCACGAGACGGAGGTTCTCAGCGAAGTAAAAGGCTCCGCTTTTGTGATTGATTGCTTGGGTGAAGAAATCACAACCAGTGAGGATGGCGATCAGATGGTCTACAATTTGCTGCTCGAATTTGCCGCAGGGGGAACCCTTGATGGCCTGATCAGGAGATTCAAGGGCCGGGGTTTGCCGGAATCCGATGTCATAAGTTACACAAGGTCAATTCTCCGAGGGTTGATACACATTCACGAGTGCGATTACGTCCACTGCGATTTAAAGCCGGAGAATATTTTGCTTGTGCCTGTTGCTCATACTGGAAGGTTTGTGGCCAAGGTTGCAGATTTGGGATTGGCTAAGAGAACCAAAGAGGATGTGGGTGGATGGAGAGGCACTCCGAGGTATACGGACCCGGATGCTTTGATGGATAACGTGCAAAATCAGTCCTCCGATATCTGGTCTGTTGGTGCCATTGTTCTAGAGATGTTAACAGGCAGCCCCCCTTGGGATGTGAAGCCCGGCTCCGATCTTGAAGACTTCTTAGACATGGTTTCTCAAGAAATTACCCCCAAAATTCCTCCCGGTATCTCAAGTGCGGCAAACGATTTTCTCAAGTGTTGCCTAGCCATCAATTCTTGGGAAAGGTTAACTGCTGAACAATTGTTGTTTCATCCTTTCATGGCTGAGCCACAAGTATCCGAAACATGTCATTCTTCTCTGGGCTATGCCGTTGTTCCGAAAATTCAGCCCCCAGTGGGTTTAGTAATACCAGCCGGACTATAGAAGCCCTCTGTTATGTCACAAGTGAGTACAAGTCTGATGTTCTGATCTTTATTGTTGTAGTTCTTATTTCAAGTTTATAACCACAGAATTGCACAGATATTGTAGTTTTTTTTCCCCCTAATTTTGTCTACTTTTATTAATCCTGATTGTGCAATTGTGCAGCCATGGCCATGAATGGCTAGTTGTGGTGATTATGTTTTTTCCCAATTGTTGATTGATATTCTGTGTTTTGGCGCGTTACTAGATTTGAAGCAGAAGTTTCCCATTATCGACCTCAAAGCAGCAAAACTACATCCAGGCCCAAAATTTTGGTTAGTATGCTGTTGTTGGGAAAGTTACCATCGTAGTTTTTATCTATAATTCTTCGCTTGCTTAGGCTATAGATAGCAGAGAAGTGCCGGCAGCAAGCAGAGGCACATTAATCACATAGGACTAGGCGTGAAAAGATGATTTGAGATGCTATGCACCAGTAAGAGTGAAAAACAGCAATCTGAGTACAAGGGTTAACAGTTTCTACTTTTTTTAATTTGTAAGTCAGTTCTTTATCTACCAAGAATCAAATGTAGAATGCTTTTATACAAGGAACTAAGAGTGTATTTTGTGGAATAACAGAAGATACATGAAGCCTCATTATCACAGAATGAAAGTATAATTACGTTGCAGAGCAGGGCTAGATACAGTGTTGCAAAAGAGGACGAATAGACACCTAGATTTTGGTAGGTCTTGCTTCTAATTTTCTTTGGCAAGCTAGTCATAACTCTTGTTTGTGTTTACAAAAACCCAATTTTTGTTTTAGCTTGCTAGTTCTTGTATTTGACTAGTGTATGTTTGTTATTGGTCGGGTCTTACCTATGTCTTAAACTACCCCAATTTTTGCGTATTTTACTGAGAGAAGGGGAATATAAACTTACTTGTTCTTCACTTCAAAAAAATAAACTTATTTGTTCTAAATCTTGAAATGTTTCTAAAATTTAAATGCTTATCCGCTTTTTTAAACGTGATTTGGTTGATTCAAAAGATAAAATGAGGATCACTTGTGATATTTTCGTGATGCTTAAAGCTTAAAGCTTTTGGTTCTTCCTCTGTTCCTTCCGTTGCTTCTTTTGTTTGGTGGCTCTCTATCTGCAGTGTAGTAGGTGCCATTTTCTCTGTTTGGCTTGCAGATTTCAGTGGTCTTCTCTGTTTTGTTCCTTCTAGTTCAGCATTTGATCCTGACATATGGTAAAACAATTATTGGTCATCACCATAACTCTCATCACTCTTTGGATACAGAGAAGGCTGCTATTCTGGAGTCCAAGAGGACTGTTACGTATGATCCGTATTCCACACTATCTTATTGGAATAAAGTCACTGTTATCTGCAATTTCACCAATGTCAGCTGCAATAAACTGCATTGTCCTGCAGAACTTCTTCTGCAAGGGTTAAGAACTTGTAGGGCAGCCTTCACCTGCCATTTCTAAATCTAACATTACTTCTCAACTTACTTAATTTCTTTCGCTAGCTGATACTTTGTTACTGACTTTTTGACTTGTTTGGTTGGGCACTAAACCTTTTGTTCAACAATCCCAAGTTAATTTAGCACATTTTGCAGAAAACTAAATCATGAAAAGTAGCAAATAGGAGGAGGTGAAAAACATAAAAATGATAAGATTATGTAGCTAAGAGCAGTTGGAATTCAGAATGCTGTTATAGTTGGAGCCCCGACCCTCATTTTGAAATTAATCACTAAGATTTGATGAAACAAGGAATATTAACATATTTGGTGGTTGAAAATGATTAAAAATGATCGATTGTGGTGTTTAGTTACGTCATGTTTTGTAGCAAAGTTTTTGACTTCTGAATGCAATCATAGTTACTTGTTTCTCAAAATAGAATCAATGAGATTAGATGAAAAGGTGGTTTAGAAGAGTTGGATTATAGAAGCGAATCTGCTTTCTTTGCTGAAAGGGTAGCTATCGTATTGTTCTGCACTCCAGTAGTTTTAACTTTTAACTTTTAGTTCCTTTATTTTCTCCAGCTAATCCATGGATTTGCACAAAGGATTCAAAATTTTGTATCCGAAGTTTGTTTAGTTTTTGTGAGTCTTATTATTGCAGGCACTATTATGGTCTTGCCTAACTATTGAATTTTAGCATTCAAAGTGGAGCAGTTGGTTCATTATTTCTCTTCCATGTTGTTGCTTGTGTCCTAAATCTTCCAATTTGTTGCAGTGTCCTTCTACCAGATTAGTTTTTCCCATGTTCTTAATTACTGACCTTTTTTTTGGCTGTGCAGGATCATATGGACGCCTAGCTTTTGGTTGGTCTTGATCCTAACTTTCTTTGGCAAGCTAGTAGTAACTTTTTCTTTTTTTATCTTCTATTCCGTTTTCAATGACCCTAATTTTTGCCTACTTTGCTTAAAGAAGATTATACAATTGTTTGTCCTAAATCCCGAAAGGTCGCTAAAATTTAAATACTCGTCTACATTTCTTAAAACATGATTTAATGGATGGAAAGTTAGAGGTGGTAAAAGGTGCAGTGCAAATGATGTTTTTGAACTTTTGAGAGAAATTATATAGTTAACCTCTTTATTAAAACAGAACCGCTGAGATTTGATTCTACAGGTTTTGATCTCTGTCTCTCTAGCGTGCACAATAGTAGGTGCTATGCTTGGAGTATGGTTTTTCATGATGCTTAAAGCTATGATCTTTTTTGTTTAAGTTGTTAGAGAGTATGAATCCCACATCAAGGAAAGGAAGAACCTTGCATGTGCTTGTAAGTAATTGGGCTACTCTCTATATTGTCAATTGGTTTTATCGTGGATCCTCAACTTCTTTCATGAAAGCGACTCACTGTCTGCAAAATAGTAGTTTTAATTCATTCTTGTGTTTCCAGATTGCAGCAGTCTCCTAATCTATTGGCTTTCGGTTCGCTGCTAATGTGATGTTGTCTCTGTTTTGGCTTGAAGTATCTCACTTATATGTATTCAATCTGAAAAGGTAATCCTAACTCTTGTTATTGTTTTCAACAACCCAACTTTTGCCAATTTTTGCTTTAGATTGCTGGTTCTGTATTGACTTGTTTACATCTGTCGTACGTAGGTTTTGTCTTAAATCTATATGTATTTTCAACAAACCCGACTTTTGCTTACTTAGAGAAGAAGAGTATATAATTCTTTGTCCTAAATCTTGAAAAGACTACAGCTTGATAACGCATCTGCTTTTTTAAAACGTGATTTGGTGTTTGAAAAAAACATGATTTAGAGGATGCAAACTATAAAAAATGATGGATTTAACGTTAATCAAGGCATATTTTGTAGCAACGTTTTCGATTTGAAGTCTCTTGAGTGATTACGGCGATTGTAGTGATGTCACTATAATGTTTGATCACGTATCTAGTCCCAAAATCCCTGCAAAAATTTCAAGTGTAGTTAGGGACCTTCTTAAGAGTTGCCTTAGCACGAGGTCTTGCGAAAGGTTAACTGCTGAGAAGCTATTACTTCATCCATTTGTTGCTCGACCGCAACCATCAAAATCAGCTAGTCGTACGAAGATGGAGGTGGTGAGATCTTTGAGCCATGCAGGTTTTTACAAAAGCTCCGTCGTTGTTCCGAGAATTCCGCTCCACCGGCACCGGGTTCTGAGATAGCAGCTGGTTTATACAAGTTTGATTTGAGAAAGTAGAATGTGTAATGGCTCCGTGTACCACCAGCTTGGTGTTATTATTTTGAACTCTTGAGTGTGAGGAGGGCTTGCTTGTAATGAGGGATGGTATTGTGAGTAATGACGGTGCTGCGATCATGATTAGGATGAATGAATGAATATTATTCTTATGTATTCAAATTCTTCACTTGCTGTTAATGAGGTTTGGCTGTGTAAGTGAAAGGTTATAGGTTCGGATTTCTTGAATGATAAATTCGATAACAACTTAATTGGTTGACACATTATTTGACTTACCCCAAATTTCTTCGCCAACTTAGGGTAAATAATATAGTTGTATTGGAAAAACAAGAAAGTAAAATTCGGAAAAATTAATAAGGGTAAGATACATTTTACACGTCAATTTTGGGTCAAATAACAAACTCATATCTCATTTTTCAAACATTGCAATGTCATACATTAGCTTACGAAATAGTTACAATGTCAAACCTCCGTCCCTTTCTTCATCAATTTGTCTGTTAACTACTGATGTGGCAGGCACCCACTCATAAATTACAATTTGTTTGATTAAAATTAATGAAAAAGAATTTATCCCCGAGAATTCCTTCTTCTTTCTCACTTGTCGGGATGTTTTGTTAGGGTTTTTGATATATGTTTTTTTGGTTTGGGAACGATAACGAAGGCTGCAAAAACATTCTTAATATATTAATATTAATTAATTTCTCAATGCAGTTGGGTGAAAGTAGGCCCACGATTGCGATGTCAGCAATTAACATACCAACGTATAAAGAGAAGAAAGTCTAACATTGCAATGAACTCGTAAGTTGATACGTGACATTACAATGTTCAAGAGAATGACACTCTCAAACTGGGATATCAACTTCCCCTTCCAAAAACCTGCATCTCTCTCTCTTCGAAAGCATACCGCATATGGTATATTTTTTGCAAAACTTCTAAACCGCTATGCTGGGAACTACACCAGCCCAATTACCCAGAAAGCTAAACTGAGAAACAATCTTCACCTAATTGTAACCATTCCTCATTTATGGGCAACGCCAAGGAACTAGCAACCGCCACTCTAGAAGATGACCAAACGTCGTCGAGGTCAATCTCGAAACTTCTAATAGTATCATTGCAGAATGGAACTAGAACCTCCTGCAGAACATAAAACATATCACTGCTCTAGGGATACTATAACACACCAAATATGTAAACCCAGGGGTATAACGTCCACACATCTCTTAAATTGATGAAGGGCTAACATCTAAACGGCCAGACGAAACTAAACTTTGATGAACAAAGTAGTTGCCTGGTCATGACTCACCCGAGTCATCGCCAGAAATCATAGGCAGATCAATTAGTTTGGTTTAGCTAAAGCTGAATATGTCATGAAAAGAACTTTTGGGTCCGGTTGTACGAGGGTTATATAAGTAAGGAAACGTCTAACTGTGTCTACATGGACCTCCAAACTTCAGTACAACAAATGGGTTACGATCAGAGCAAACGTTAACAATGAATAATCAAGAAGTAACTAAACTATAATTCCATCCATTTGTTTCCTAACACAAGTACATGACTTGCCCACTAAAAACAGAGCAATACCATCCTATAACAGCATCTCATGATATTATTTATTAGAAATTCAAGCAGATTCCAAATACGACGTTTCATGAATCCGTAGCATAAGCATCTTCTTACACATATATCCTAGATTGCATTTCTGAATTGCCATGCAGAGAGTTTTTATATAAGAAAAAAAGATGGGAACTTAAAAGTAAGCAGGCATGCCTCCCCTAAAGATTGAAAGATAAACAAAATCACAGTCATGTTAAGTTCAAAAGCATATAACATGATGGAGATTCCAGACTTTAACCAGGATCATGTTTGTCGGCACCATGGTAGTCTGTTGTTGGAACCTAAACCATCGACCAGAAATTGAAAGACAAAACAACAAACTACAGCTATGCTACATTCAAAAACATTTAAACAAGATGAAGTTCCAGTTATTCGAACCAGGATCATGTTTGTTGGCACTGCATCAGCCTGTTTTAGAACCTACACGATCAACCAAAATAACCCCGGCATTTTGACGATCCACATAAGCATTTATTCTTCCTGTTGGGTCCACTGTTACTGCCAGCTTCATTAGAGCTTGAACTCCCATAATCATATGTCAACTCTGTCATCGGGGGAACGTGTCTGATGGCATAAAAAGCAATATGGACAAAAGACTGATTGTTGTGCTCATATACAACTGGTTGCCAAAAAACATTTGGTGAGCAGCTGTGATTAATGAACCGACCTACATTCCCAACATTCTTGGCACTTATGATCAGGCGATATGGAATGTTATACTCCTCAACATCATTAGGACTCTCCTCTATTAATCCAGGTTCATAACTCCACTTGAATGATTCATAATCACGGCCTGTGTCAAAAATATATTCATCATTTTCCCCTCCCTCCTCTTTCTGTTTTAACTTCGCTTCATCTATAACCTCACCAGCATACTCACAAATAAAAGCACCAGCACGAATAGAATCCCATGACCGGAGGCCCCATCCCCTATCCTTTGTCTTAAACACTTCCAGCCGCAATTTTACACCAGTTTGGGATACTCGGTTTTTGCAGTTGGGAGTGCATGGACACGTAGGACCACATTCATGTAACAATTGTTTACGGCTGACTAGAATCCCATTGCTAGTATAAGGAAAATCACCTCCATTTTTCTGAATGCAAGAGCAATTCGTATCACCTGGCTGGCATGCACTGCGGCAATTGCATCCAAAAGAAGGTGGCATTAGACTGAATGACTTAGTATATTTGAGCGTAGGGAAATAAGTGAAAGAAACCAGCGCCTTCTCATTATCAACCTCATTTACAAGGGA